GGTCTTGATAATTTACGATATCATGCTCAACCTCATCCAATAATTGCTTATTACTCAATGTTCGGACGTCCCCATGATCATGATTAAAGCAGCGGTTCAAATCACGGGCTCAATCAACTTAGCTTACTTTCGATTTGAGCCCACGAGCGTGCGTGCGCTTAAATTACGCTGAATTACCACTGCACCCTTAAAAAAACTAAGGAGCTATACAAGTTTTGAACTTCAAGAAGATATAATACAAATTTAACACGGAACATTTGGCTTTTTTGAAAAATGACATGGGTTTTAGAAATTAAAAAACTGGTACGTGTTTTGAAAATGTTGAGTGTAAAAGAAATAGAAAATAATTTTGTCTATATTTCTCAACATTTTCCAAGACGTTTTTGAGTTAAATTTTTAAAACGATGTATAATGAGTTTCCAGAAAGATGAAATGTTTTATTTATTCATTTCCAGATTTGAATTTAGCAATAAATTTGGGTTTAAAAAATGTGATTTAAAAACTTTTTCATTCCATATTTCAAAAAAAGGCTGTCCCTTTTTTGGTTATACATGAGAAGTAATATCACTAACCTTTGGACGGTGCCTTTGCTTCTTCTACTTCCATCAGACATTCTGCTAAGTTGGGTTCCCCTTCACACAGATTACGCTTCTCCTCTAAATCATGGAGAAAAATCGCACCAAAATTCAACACTACGACCAACATTCTACAGCATTTTCAGGTATCGTACACTTATTTTAAAAAACTTGTGAAAATTTTGCAATACTTACCGTCTAGTGTTGGTTTAGAAACCACACAAAGTAAAAATAAATGGGAAAAAATAAAAGCCAAGACAAGTCGTAATGCCATCTTTATCGGTGAACGACTTAAAACGAACTTGGACTAGTTTCTATAGTCGCTTGGCAACAGTCTCCGCTACAGCAATCATTTTAGCAAAGGAGGATTGAATAAATTAGTATTATCAAAAAAACATTAAACTATAAAGGCTTTTCGACCGCAGCCATGTTGGAAGACAGGACGAATTAGATTATTTTAATGATTTAGAAGAATTTAATTTCTTAATGGAAATATAATCTTTCTTAAGCCACGATATATTATTATCATATTATTATTATATTATCAAATTCATACCAACACAAAGCTACCGTGTAATGACTGCCAATTTAGCATATTTTGTAGTTTTGTGCATAAAGCAAATCAAACAAAAGGGCTATATTTTGGCGAATCAAAAAACAAAATTCTAACTTCTTATTAGTGAGTTCGATAATATAATAAAATAAGATGATCTAATTAAGGGGTTCAATCATGGTTTAGGGAGTTTGAACGAATGCCCCATAGATCCACCCCCCTTAGCTTGTCATAACCTTGTTCAATTAAAAAAAAATGCTTCCATTCAAATTTTATTTCGGATACTAATTCTTATTAGTCTTTGAACTATTTTAGGTTGAGTCAGTCTTTACAACCGTTTTTAAATTTGTAAAATAGTTATCTTAATTCATAGTTTTATGACTGTTGATGAAAAGTTGTTTTTAGCATCCTATTTTTAGTCACGTAAATATATCTGAATGAGATGTTTTGTTTTGTTGAAGAAATAGAAAACGCGCGCGCGTGCTGTGTGCTTGTCATAAAGCACGCAGGGGTTGGCAGAACACGAGAGAAGTGTTATCAGAAGCACTCCGCTACACGTCGTGCTTCTCCTAACACTTCTCTCGTGTTCTGCCAACCCCCAAGTGCTTTATGACTGCACACAGCACAGCAAGCAAGTTTTTATTTCTTTTATAAAATACAAATTACAATAATAGATAGGAATGACGCAACGGAAAGTGCGCGCGCGTGCAATGTGCTCTCATAAAGCACGCGCTCCAATCCAATCAGAACGCGACATTCATAACAGTTACAGTATTTTATAATGTGCACGCGCAAGAGGCACGCGAACAACGAATCGTTACTGTTTTAGCAAAATGAGGTTGTAACAACGAAACTAGTTTTTTTTAAAGGCTAAAATACACATAGTGCGTATAAGACAATAATATTGAGAAAGTGAGAATTCACTAGTTTAAATTAAGACTATTATATCTGAATGTATTTTATGATATTGTCTATTCTATTCTTAACAATTTATTAAAATTATTTCTATCTTTACTTATTATTTTTTCTTACGTTTATAATTACATTTAATTTTACTTGTGCACTCAAGTCTATTTTTTCGTTACGAGGGACTTTAATTTATTTTTAGCTTGCGCTTAATGTTTTCCTATTTCACGACACGTGTTATTTCCTTGAGTATAAGATGATTTGTTTGTTATATCCATATTCATGTGTCTTCTCATGCGCAACCATTAAACGAAGAAATGATACTCTAGGGAATGACACGTGGTCTGAAATGGGAAAACAATACGCCCAGGATAAAATCTATTAGCTTCTAAATTTAGATACTCAAACATTCCCATCATGCAGTACTAGCGGGCTACCAACGTTACACGCACACCATCTTTTGGGCGGAGGGTCATTTGTTCCACTGCCTTGAGTTCTTGTCCTGGCAGAAGCTTGATCTTGAAACTCTGAATCAGACGAGCCAGAACTAGCTTGGTTTCGAGCTGGGCAAAGCTTGAACCGATGCAATTGTGCGACCCAAGAGAGAACGGGAAATAGGCGTAATGTTCGATCTACAGAAGTCAAGAAAGAAATGAAATGAATACTCTAGTGCTTCAGGTGCTTGTCTCGAATCATAATACCAGTCTGTGCATTAAAATTCAGGGCATAGTTATCAAACCCTGAAATAACCTCTGGGCTAATCAAAGTCAGGGCACGGCTAACTCACAGATTGGACCCTGAAACAACCTCAGTGCTGGTCTAAGGAGGGCACGGCAAACTCACAGATCGATACCTTGAAACAACCTTCGGGTGGATCTAAGTCAGAGCACGACTAACTCACAAATCGAAATCAGGGATTGAGCTTGTTAGGCTTTTGCGGAGGGTGGAAAATCGGAGAATCCAGAGAAAAAGCCTTGTCTCGAAATGCAAGGGATAAAACTAACAAACTCGACTCACATGCGATGCCGAGTATAGGAAGCCAACCCTAGGTCCCACAAGTGAAGTGTACTACCGCTACGTTACACATGGTTCCCAATATCGTGAAACTAAAAGCATTTATTAGTGGCGTGCAGAGATAGTTGGAAAAAGCCCGACGGAAGAATAGATGATTTGAATAGGTTGCTATCAATAGACGTCACTTCCGGTAATAGCCGCATTTTTAATGGTTTGTAGAATCTTGGAGGTTGTTTTGATCTCTTGTTTTCTGGTTTCATGTTTTAGAAATAGTCAAATACAATAGTTTGAGTACTTATTTTGACAAGTTTTGACTTAGCATCCGCTAGTTGCCCCCCAGTCAACCGCTTGTTTGCTCCCCAGTCAACTCCAAAAAGTCACGTGATTGATAGTAAGCAATTGAAGAGATTTAATACCGTACCTTAGCTTTATTTTCAGCATTAAAGCGTTCAGGGTCGTATTTCTCAGGATCATCCCAGTACTTAGGATTATGTTGAAGAACGTGGGCATCGCACATGACACTCGTGCCAGCTGGTATGACGTAACCACCAAGGTTGGTGTCCTCTTTCGTCACGCGCGTGATCGCTGGCTGTGGTGGGTGAAGGCGCAGGGCTTCTTTGATCGTTTGGTCTAAGTAAGTTAGCTTGGACAAATCTTCAGTGGTGACACTTCGGCGAGAGCCAAGTACTTCGTCTATCTCAGCCAATACTCTAAAAATGTTAGTTCGTTAATTGCCACATACAATGGTACCTCTATTAAGTGGCGTTTTAAGCCTTTGCCCTGTGTCCGCTCAATAAAGGGTGTCGAAGCAATAAAGGTTTGTTTGATAATAATTTATACAGTGTTACCTAGATGTTCAACGGACACCTTGCGTGGTGTCCTCAAAACAAAGGTTTGTCTTGCAGTAGATATGGGAAGAAAATTAGTTCAGGACCGTGCTGTCTATTTARTGAAGGGTGTTCACTTAATATAGGTGTTTTTTCACCAAAACGACTGGGGAAAAGTGCACTTTATATATTCAGCACATTTGAAGACAAGGCCTTAGTTCCAAACTGGTGGCAGATCCATGACTATTATAAGGGGTGGATGATACTTAGAAAGACAGTACCTTCCTCTCTAGATTTTACATTACTTGCCTATTTTTTAATACTCAAAAAAAAAAAAAAAAAAAGAGCACTGTCTTACTACCCAATCCTAATATTGAAAACCCAATTAATGGGTGGGTTGTCAGCATTCCCAAGAAAGTCAAAAGACAAAACCATGGCGGCCATTTAGGTGCCCTTAACAATGAATACTAATAAGAAACCTTTTGTTAAATGGCACCAATGCTCCCTCGATAGACTGTGATGACGTAACGCACAGTAATCCCTTGAGAGACTGTGATGACGTAACACACAGCGCTCCCTCGAGAGACTGTGATGATGTAACGCACAATGCTCCCCCAAGTGGCTGTGATAATGTAACGCATAATTTAAGAATACTGATTGAAAGAATGAAGAATGGTTTTCATTGCTAAGAATGCCTAAATGTATTAGATTAAAACTCAAATTTTAAAATAAACTTCTTAAGTACTTACTTCTGTTCTACTTCTGGGTGGAGTAGAATTCCAAGCAAAGTGAAAGAAATGTGATTTGAAGTGGTTTCTTGTCCTGAAAGAAAACATCAACACGTTCAGCCATATTTCTTCTACAGAATGGCAAGTTGCCACTTATACCATATGATCATGCAAAATTAACTTATATTATATAACTCGGGGTTCTTCCATGAGGTTCTCTCCACAACCGGGGGGTACTCCGCCAGGATTTGGGTAGGGGTGTTCCACTGGGATTCTGAAAGGGGTACCCTGTTTATGACAAAAAAACTCAAATTCGTAGACCCTGTTTATGACAAAAGATATAATTTATTGCTCTGAGTTCCTGTTTCAATTATCATGTCATCTCKCGTATCGCTTTTTGAAGACCATAGTAACCAGTTTCGGTCAATTCAAAAGTAGAAACCCTGAATATGACAAGAAACTCAGGAAAAAATTTGGAACTTGAGTGAAATTGCATACCCTGTATATGACAAGAAGCTCGAAAAACCATACCCTGTTCAGCGGATCATCCCCATATAGTCCATACATGGGAGTACTCCCCCCGGGTCTCCACATGCACTACCACTACATTGCATTTGTCCAATATACAACACTTGACTTCTTGTTTTGCAGCCCCAGAATGACCTCTATTTTTTTTTTAATGTTTGAATAGCCAACTTTTGATATTCTGGTTGAGTGGTCAAGCACAAAACATTTAAAGCCAAGGCTCCAAGGAATTTAATCATTATTGTGTAGTTCCAAAAACTATGCATACCCCCCTCAAGGAGGAATTTTTTTAAGACACCCCCTACCCACCGGAAATTCCAATTGTCTTCCATACAAACTCAGTAATTTTTGTTCTTTCTCTGACCCCCCTACTCTTTGGAAATTTCAAATTCTTCTGTGGGGTGGGTATGGATAATTTCTGGAACTACACAATATTCTTTTGTTTCACCAGAGTCTCGACTCGGATCAACCAGAATATCAAAAGTTGGCTTTTATAATTGTAAATTTACCTCCTACAATAAACGTGATAAAATGATCAACCAAGTCATCCATAGTTGTAGTGGGATCATTCTCGGCAATCCTAAGAATGTAGGTCAAAATATCTGAATGACTGTCCTCTTGTTTTTGAACTGCGTCCATCCTTGCCTGGATTACACCTTTTGCAGCTTCGCGAAGGAACTTCACTGATTTTATACACTCATTTTGGTAAGGATAGGTAGATGGCTGAAAGAACATGAATGGCCTTCGAAAACTCTGAACCAGTCCCTCAAGAGCTATTCTAGTGTTGGTGGGGATTGGAGCATCAGGTGAATCAATTGCATTGACGTCAAGATCATATGCCACCTACAGTACAAGATTGTATGCAGTAAATCAGTTGCTGCAGGTAGTCTAAGAATAATATTAGATGCAATGGAACCTAAGTTGGAAAAAGCCACGGACAAGGAGTTCTTAGAATTCTTGGGGTGCAGCCACGACTCAAAATCCCTTGAGAAATAAATAACTATGAAACCATGTGGGTTGATCTAACAAGAGAATGTACAAGTTGATTGGAATGCTTTGTTATCATCAACCAACACGAGAGCTATGATGCAACATGCACTCCAAGAATAAGTGTTTCCAAGTCGAAAAAAAACAGAATTTGGAATTGCATCTTTGTATATTAGCAAAGAAGCATAATTTAGCAGTGCTCTAACATACACCTGAAAACTTAATGCATTTTGAAAACACAAGGACTTGTATGAAAAACGATCAACCTTGCTTTAATTTTATCAGTACATTTTAAATGCTTGTAATTTTTTTCTGGGATGAGGTGTACTATCCAGGATTTTTGTTTTAGGAGGGGGGTACCCTTTGCTTACAAACTTAAACACCAATAATGCATAAGATATCAGCCCATCAAAGGGGGGAGGGGATGATGCACTACCCCTGAACACATCCCCTTGATCTGTCCCTGCCTTACTACTTGGTGCATAGAAATATTTCAGAGAAGGAGTCTTAGTTTACCTTCCCCACCACATCTAAAGCCAACCTGACCAGCTCTTCTGACATCGATACCTCAGTTTCGCCATCAGCAAGTGTAAGCAGCTTATTGAGAAACAAGTCACAACTCTGATTGAACTGATCCATCAAGCTTGCAATAAACTTATGATGAAAGGCAGGATTCAAGTGAGCTCTTTTCTTTTTCCATGAYTGGTGGTCCACCTCAGACAGCAGACTTCCACCAAGGAGTCTTTGGCCAAACAGATTAGCAAAGTGACTGTAGCCAAAAGGATCTTTAGGTAAATCAAGTTTGATAAGGACTTCCTTGACAAGAGCAGCATCCGAAATCATGACAACAGGGCGATGGAAGAACCAGAAGACATACAGAGGGTTAAACTGAATTGCCAGGTCAGCCCAGATTTGGTGGATGATGACTTTCTCTCTGGTTCTTCTCTTTTTTACCATCGGCATGTGGCCACTGAAAAATCCATTCCTCTTTGGTCCAGGGAGGTGGTCATACTTGGCATGTTGTTGATACAGGTACACAGTAAAAACAACAAGACAAAAAAGAGGAACACCAAGTAGGAGGTAAAGTATTGAAGCAAGAACAGCCATGCTGACGATAAAAATATGCAAGCATACATAAAGTAAATCCAACTTACTACAAATTTATGCTAATGGAACTGAATGCATAACACCTATATAATGATGGTGATAGACGACTTTCATAACTCAGTTTTTTCAGATAGAGAAAATGAAGCCTTTTTACCAGAAACTATTAATGCTATCTGAGAAAATACTTCACGAAAAACTATTTCCAGAAAATTTTGTAGAATTTGACTGCATACCAAAGAAGTTATGAAAGAACGAAAATAGAGAGTTTTGTATGTATTTATCATTGGAAGCCTTGGTGGCCTCCTTTTGGTGCATTTTCAAAACTTCAAATGCTCACATCTTGTAAAGGATTTATTAATTTAAGTAGAAACTCACACGCCTTATCTAAATCAACAAGATCAATGATTTAAAAACATTGATTTTTGATGTTTATGCAAATTAGCAGCAGCCAGTTATGAAAGTTGTGTATGATGATGATGATGATGATAATGATATACATTTATATAAGTATAGGGGACAAAAAACCATGAATCTATCTACAGCATATAGATTAAAGGCCCTCTGTTAGGGGTGAATTTTGACAAGCAACATGGCCTTGAAAGGGTGACACAAGAGCCACAAACTAGCAACGAACATCAAACTGACTGCTTCAATGAATTACCGACAGCAAGGCCCTGCTAGGGGTAAATTTCTGACAGCGACACAAGTATTTTCTGAAAATGCAACATAGGCAGTTGTTAAATTCAGACTGAAGACATGGGTACTTTCCCTAATAGGGCCTCAGATAAGGATCTATCCTTATTTTGAAATAATACTTTAAAACTCTATGCACGGCGATGCACGGCTATTAGTTATATGGTTATTTATAAATGTCAACCTCGTCAAATAAGCTTTTTGAATTTTCTCAAGAGCATTTGAATTTATTATTTTTTCTTTCTTTTTTGACAACTAAAACTTATGCACAGGGATGGTGGAACCGGGGGGGGGGGGGGGGGGGG